GGTCCTATACTCTGCAAAGGCTTTGCAAGAAGCCTATTTCACTGGGCAAGTTGTAGAACCCCTTTGAGGTATTCCAATCAGTTATAGGCTGAAGACGGGCTTACAGATTTTCTCTAATCATGTTTCCCAACATTCCTTTCTATCACACTCAAGTGTCTATTTTATAATAGTAGGCAAGGGAAACCAATATTCATAAGACAGTCAAGCATTTTAGTAGAATTTCCCCTTTTCAAGCTATGCCTAGATCCCTGTATCCCAGAGCCCTGTTGTTCCAAGGTTGAGCATGCATCACTATTTACCTCTCCTACTTAGGACGAGGAGCTCTGGTAGCATAGTGGTGACGAATCGGGCTGTGTGAAGCTTATGGTCAGCAGTTTGAAACTACCAGCTGTTCCACGATAGAAAGATGAGGCTTTCTGCTCTCGTAAAGATTTACAGCCTCGGAAACCCTGTACAGGGTCACTATGAGTCGAAACCAACTCCACGTCACATAACAACAACTTAGGAAATGCAAACCTGTCTCAGTGTTCCCCTATCTATCTTGTTCTTCTGCGTCCTCCCGCTTCTTGTATTGCCCTCCCCAACACCCGAACTAAACCTCCCACCCCAACCCCACCGTTGTGATTACCTTATATTCCATTAACTCTTCACTCCATTTTAGACAGTCTATTTTATCCTATAGTCTACCTGACCTTCCCACCACCTGGATCTCTGTTCCTCTGTGTTTACTTTCTTTCACATTGTAATTGTTTTGATCATAGACTGACCTCCCAGATCCTCTGTTCTTATCATTTTTTTCTGTTCTTGACGCTTCCATTTGTCGATTGAGTTCAGGGTGATGTGGCCATGCACATCATTCTCTAGCTGTTTTCCTAGTTGGTTCTCAGTCCACAGAACTTCCATTAGCAGGGTTGGCTTTGGCAAAATCCCGTTGCTTCTGTTTATCCTGGAATGTTTTGATTACACCATCATATTTGATTGACAGCTTTGCTGGGTAGAGGATTCTTGGGTGGCAGTTTTTTTTTTCTTTCAGGGTTTTATATATGTCTCCCCATTGCCTTCTTGCCTGCATGGTTTCTGTTGAGAGATCCCAGCTTAATCTGATTTGCTTGCCTTT